CCCTTGACAGTCACGAAATTTCAGAAAATCGTTGGCAAACCTTTCAAGACGACCTCCGTGAGCAGATCCAACAATACCCTCCCAGTGTGGGATCCTACGGATTCTGGGAGACCCAGTAACCGATACTTAGGAAATTTCACAAAAAGGCAAGCAGTGTATTCATTTCACCCTTTTCACTGCTGAAAGTCATCCCGCAGTGAGTGGCCTCTGAAACTTTCGCCGAGACCTATAAAAACAAGAAAATATACTATTTCAGATGTAGGAATGTAGGAATCCTAATTGTGGAGGGTTTTCGAGAGATGAAAATTTATCTTGGCAGGGGGTCAGTTCGCGATCAACGAGCGATTTAAGGCTCTAGGTTGGAAGCCTCAGCATTTAGAACAGCTATAAGGAATATTGTTCAAAAATGAAATCGAAATGCTACGTACAGTGGTCATGAAATAATAAGGAGAGTCCATTTGAAATCTTCATATCGGGCTCGTTTCCCCGTCAGTGGAATTGAAGGATAGACGTGTTTTTCTGCAGCTTTCCCAAAGCCTGTTCGCTGCCATGTCGCACTTTTTTGCAATCCATGAAAAATTACACAGGTTTTTCTGGATTTTGATGTTTTCTTGTGCCAATGAAGGCTCCTTTGCACCTCAATTACCGAAGAGTGGCGTTGCTTCGCGCTTCCGGTGTTTGGCCAGGGAATTTTATTTCTCTAGTACTTACGGTTAGCTTTCCTAAGGCTCCTTCAGAAAGAATGGCTGCGAAGAGAAGGTGCTTATCGGTTTGAAGGATAACTCTCCAACCTTGAGCCCCCTCCACGTTTTGAGACTTTGAAGGAAGGCGATCTCATAGGAATGCTTTCTGCTCATTAATAAAGTTCGTTAACAAAGTTTCGTAGAGAAAATCGTCAAAGTGAAAACCGATGCTGTGGTTCTGCGGAATATAAGAGAGAGATTATTGAACGACGCGCTTTCCACATTTGTACAACTCATGGATTCGTAGTCAGTAATATGAAGCTTTGCAACAGTTTCAGTATATGCAGAAATAAAAGCAGTATAAGGGAACCTTCACCCATGAGGACGGATGCTAAAGTTTCATCGAAACACAATGTGAAGTTACCCTTTCAGATCGTCGTGGAAAATACCTTCAAACAAAAAACTCGTGGCTCTTACCTTAAGGAGAACTCGATGATACTAGGACAAGGAAGATGCCAGCAATGGGGACCTTCCAGGGGAGCCGCACCTTCGGAGTGGTTTTTGCACATTGTAGGGACGCACAAACACAAAACCATGTTTCGTTTTCGCTGAACGGTTTTAGTAGTACCAAAAAAGTGGTGAATGGTACTGTTGATGGTTCAATCCCCCGTGGCGACTAAATTTTGCATTTAAGGTTGGCGCCTACGGTTAGTTGCCAAATGGCGCTAAAGGTCAAAATCATCACTCATTTATAGTACGCGGGACCATGTTCATGCTAATGAGTCAATATGTAGCTACCAACGCTGAATGCGAAATCCTGACGCTACCGGGAATCAAGTCATTAACCGTAAGTTTCACTATTTTTTCGACACTGCTACATTCGACAAAAGTGAAACATGCCTAGTTCTGTGGTCCATTCAGCGCCCGTACAAAGTGCGAGAGAACTTTTCGAAAAGCGCTCCAACTAGGTGAAACTGGTGCAAAGAGCTATAAGAGCTTTCTCGTCCTCACCACGGCCTTAGACGGCTCAAATTCCTTATCGAATTTCGCATAGCCCAACCAAGCCTCCACTTATCTCGAGTTGTTTACCTGGTACCATATTCACCACGATGAACACATTTGCTTTCACATCTTGCCTGAACTTAAGTAGCTGGCCCTGGCAAACCTTTGTATAAGCTGGTCTTAATTCGAAGGTGACCACGACATTGTAGCCAGAGCATTCTTCAGCACTTGTGCACTCGTCCTGTTTATCTTTCTGCTGCACTATTTCAACCACAATCTGTCTGATTCAACAGTACGAAGCCAAAAAAGGTGTGGATGCCTTCCTGCTACCATTTCAACCACGAACAACGACTCCTTTTGGGGATCAGGTAACGACGAGATTTCCTTATAATGGACACATCAGTGTTTCCCCTAAGCAAAAAACACGTGCAAGTGCGGAATAGTGGCAGTGTGAAGCAACAACTGGTCTTGTTCCTATAAAAAGGGTCTGAGCGAGACCTCTGCGCATCCCAAATGCTTCCTCTGTTGATTCTCTCGCTCTGTTGGGTTTAAAAAAAAAAAAAAGCCCACTCAGGAAGCCTTCTGTGGGATCTGTTGGGTGGATGCGGATGCTGTTTGTGCGCCGTAGGTTTTCCTCAAAATTTTATTTAATTTAGGCGATTAAGTTGATAATCTCGGATTTGAAAGTTGCTGATACCGACATCATTTCCTTTAAGGCCACCACCTCCTCCGCCGCCTGCCTGTGAACCAGTGGCACCAGCCTGTGCAGCCCCGGCTCCTGCCCTCGGCTCCAGTAGCTTGATACATAGGGCAGCGTCCAGACCCACCTCCACCGCTCCCTGTTATGCGGGCTCCTTCCCCACCTATGATGCACGACACCGTAGCAACGCCGTGTACCGGCGTCCTGCTCCCTCTGCCAGCTCCGGCAGGGTATGCCATGGCTGGTTAAACACGACAATTGATCAGTGAGCTTTGTTAATGATATCAGGTTATGAATGCACTACTCTCAAAATGTTCGCTAATTATGTTAGCTATTTGTCTCAATAAATTTTGCTATGTTATGTTTAGTTTTTTCCACGTGATTTTCTCATTGCTGGATTGATCTCACGGTTCTCATTGTGATTTTCTGTCCAGGTTACATCCACGGAATCAGTCCGAAGGAGAAACTGTTCGCTTTACCAACCTTCTTGTTATGACGTGGTATTTTATTTGGGATGCGCCAAGCAGCCTTATTCTACTCTGAATCGCAGAATCGTATGGAAATTGTTCAGCTCAGTGTATTCATGCCCCAAGGCAAGCCTGAACGATTTAAGTAACAAAAACGGCCTAGTCGACCTGGTTGGAGGCGATTCTCCCTTGTTTGACTGGATGTGGGAGAAAAAAGTAGATATTCTGAGCCATTGTGCCAGATGTTCACGGTTTCCGAGATAAATGGAAAGGATTCAAAGGAAGTCGAGATGTAGCCCAGCGATGTCCTTTCGGTAGCTGCTGGAAGAGGATTGGTTCAGGAAAGTACTAATTAAAGGCAAACCCTGGGAATAGCCCGACTAGTAGGAAGGATACCGCGAGGGAAATTGTAAGGTCCGTACCTACCTAGATCACTCCAGCTTCGTCGCAAAATTGCGCGGTTAGGGCGCTAATCCTTACGGGCCTGCAACCATCGACCCCCGTTGCAACGCTTCCCACCCACCGCGAGATGTGGTGAGATTAGG